TATTAAGTTACTTGTTCATAACTTACATTTGTTTCTTTAAAATCAATTTCTCAAAGTAGAAGAACTGAATTAAGGGTTTGAACATTTTTGATATTTTGATACAATTTTCCAAGTGCTATTAAGCTCTGACCATCACTGTAGGGCAAGGGCCATTTCTCTGCACTCTAATTTGTCTGTGATTGGGATGAAAAAGTGTTCCTCTCTCATAAAAATGCTGTTTTGTTGCTACTTATTTCACACTTACTATTTATGTTTACTGGGGCATACTGGGCTGAGGAGTACTCTCTGTGAAACTTTCTGTGTCTTCAACCACAATTTAACTCACTTGCCAGATTAACTTGTGCCTCTGAATTTCCTTCATAAAAATATCCTGACTGTATGATTTGCTTACATCAAATTCAAAATCAGGGGGGAAAAGAGTGTGTAGCATTCAAAGTTAGGATGTAGATCGTTCAGGATGAGGAAGGAGGGGATGGTGACTGGGAGGGTGTACAAAGCGGGTTATGGGGTACTGATACTGTTCGATTCTTTGACCATAGTGATGCTCATTTTCTTTTGTTCATTTTATGACTATTTATTGAGATGTACATTTATGATTTTTGCAATTTTTCTAAATATGGTATACCTGACTTACAAAAGTTCTTTAAAAATAAAAAATTAATAAAAAGTAAAAAAACCAACAGACATTAGTACTAGTGATACTCAAGTCTATAGCTCAGCTTAGGACAGTTTCCTCTGCTTACCAATAATAGTCAAATGTCTTTACTCCAAAGCTCGGTCATGCACATGAACCTAGTACTTCAATGACATGATTTCATTAAATGTTATTTAAATTATAGATTTATGAAGAGGAAAAGGGGGGTTATTTCTATAAAAACTAAATTGAGTGCTATGAAAACACTCAATCTTGTCAAGCTGCTGTGTAATCTGTGCGTAAAACAATTGTTAAAAAATATGGGAAAAATTGTAAAAATCTCAAAGTAGTCTACTACATTAAGGCTGCCTCAAAGATGCCTGTAGTGTCTTTAATTTCTCTTTCCACTTTGAGGAAACAAACACACTGTGAACACTATTTAGGCAAAGTTATTTCAAACTCCAGCAGCTGACCCAGTTCCAAGAAATGGCTTTGGTCCATAAAATTTAGCAAAAACGTATTTAAACAAAAATAATTAGCTTATAGAGACTTTAATCTACTGTTTCCTTTAGCAACATCACTAATTAGTGTCCTGACTGTACCAGATAAGAGGGGCATCTGCCAAATCTAAATAATGAAAGACAAAAAGAAAACAATGATAGGATATGTGAGAAGCAGGAGAAATCAGAGGTGAGGAAATGCTTGCCAACCAAGTACAGATTCTCTCACCACACAAAAGATCCACATTTTCCAAATTATTAAAACCTAAACAGGCATGTGCACAATGTGCTGTCTGCTAAGACTGCAGTGATCAAAAGACAGATTAACCAACCAGCAGACTCACCCTTCCATGCTTAAGGCAACATTGAAGAATCGGGAAGGGGGGGATGTCACTAAGCAGGAGAGGTTTAAGCATCAGCAAATTGATCCTGAATTCTAAAATCAGAAAATGTGAAAAGAAGCTATTTTTATTTCACCCTACAATTATGTTTGTTAACAAATTTGAGTGGTTTTTATTTCAGGTACTCATGTGGGTAGGAGCATGTTCGGCTCCATTATCTTTTCAGCGATTGGGACATGAATGGAGTTCTGGAGAGATTCCTTGTGAAATAAGACAGTAGTTTCAGCGATGGTTGAAGCCATGGTCTATACATATCTTGGTATAATGACCGTTTTCACAAAGGGCTGGAAGAAGTCAGATTCAAGAAAACAATAATCTATGCTTCCACCTCCTAAGAAGGAAAGGGAGAGTAAACATCCTTTGTCTATTACCTCCAAGTAAAGTTCCAGCCCCTCCTCTGCCACATAATACTGGATTTCAATCAAAACACACAGCCCTAGGTCCAGTCTTGAGGTGTGCCTCCTTGGCTCCTGTGCTCTCACCAAAGCCATTTTCCTTCTGTCAGGGAGGGAAGTGGTCTGATAAAGCGTTTTATCCATGCACCCATTCCCAGGAATATACTAGTCTTCAAGGCAAGTTCTAGGAGCAGAACAAAGCTTACCTCAAAATAGAGATCTCAGGCCCTGTGGTTTCTGGGAAGGAAAGATTTGCCCTTCAAGTAAGATTAAGGTTAAAGAGCTCCTGATACTCTAATCACAATACATTCTCCATAAAAGATACTTGGTAAATATTTGTTGAAATTAAATGGGCAGGTGGTGTAACCTGTTCCCAAAGCTGCACCTTTTACCTACGTTCAGTAACGTCTGGTATAAAAGGACCTGTTCTTATGTAATTGTTCAATAAAATATGATCAAGGATGAGCATATAAGTAGTGAGGTGACATGCCAAGTGTGTTATAAAGCTTTGAGCTTTCACTGCCTAGACATCAAATAAACCAGTGTTTGAATCCACAAACAACTGTTCCGCTGAGAGCAGTAGAAAGCAGCAAAACACAGCTGTCTGGGCATGGCCGGAGCACCAATCCGCAAGTTATGTAACAGCTGTTGTGTAATTGTGCATTTAACTCAAAACACATTTTTAAAAGGGAAAACAATTCGATTTT